ACCCAGACACCACTATCCTTCAAATTCCTACTTTCTTTGTGTTTCTTATTTGGTTTCAATTTATTTACGTCTAATAAAGTACAGTGTACATACTCATCTTTTCTAAGTGCAAAAGGGACCTGTTTTCCAATAACCCTAATTTTAATTGTTTTCTACAGATTCTGACAATTATATGTAATGAATGCAGTTTCCGTTGTGTTTCTCCATTTATTTCTTTTAGAATGTTTTCAAATTATGATAGGTAATTCACTTACACTTTTAATGAAAGAAGCAAAAATCTTTTTTCCCTTAACACAAAAGCATATGAATGAGGCTAACATGTCTAAAGTACTGACTATTGTTAATCCCCTTATATTTCAGCCAAATCTTGGTCTTTATTTGAGGGCCCCACATAGTGATTCCTAACCCTGATTTTGCTAATTCTTCACTTATTTTAAAGGGTATCACTAACTATTTTAGTAGAAACATTTATACCAAGCATCTATTTGGGATGAAAGGTAGGCTATTGAAACTAAACTATTTGGATACTGTTGACCTAGAAAAATCCAGCCAACTTGTGCTGCCTTATCAGCCTGCCTCAGCAGTCGAGCATCCAGGAATATCAAAGACATTTTTGAGGTACCATGGAGAAAGGAGAAGCATCATGGTACAGTGAAAAGCACTGGAATTAGAAATGAAGAAACCAACTTCTTGAGCCCAGTTTTGCAAATAAACCCAAGCAAGTCACTTAACTATAACTTTAACTAATTATACAAGATTGTTGTGAAGATTTAGATGGATTGATTAGACAATTACTTGATCCTCAGTTTCTTTGTGTATAAAAGGAAGAGATTGGTTTGGATGAATAATAACATTCCTTTTAAGTCTAAAGTCCTGGGGTTTTTTTCTAAAATATATAACAATGTTTTGAAGTATAAAGCCTCCTATATAATGTATTTATAAAGACAAATAATTAGGTAGGAAATTGTGACCAAAAGCATGACATTTGTGGACTCTTCACAAAATGTTAAAAGATGATCGTGGTTGATAAGCTGTCGCATTCTCTCCCATGCTGCTGTGGATTTTAGTTTCAAAGTTTGGGATTCTGCTTATAAGGCTATTCTTATCCCATATTCACATGTTTGTATGAAGACTGACCAGCAAAATTGTGCTGTGCAATGAATTATCTTTGACATGTATCCAAATATATTGACTCTATAACAAAGGATACAGCTGATTATGTTTCAGAGCAGACTGCTATGACCATAATGTCTATTAATCTTTCAAGTGTTCTATTTAAGGTTTTAGATGAACTCCAGAAAGCATTGCATGAATTACTTTTTTGGGCTTTTTTGAGCTTTTATTTATTTATACCAGATGCTATTGTGACTATTGAAATTGGTTTACTTGTTTATGTGCTCAGGCAAACCTGATTTAAATCGGGTCTGAAAAGTGCAAAATGATGAGATTGGATCAACTGCAATGCTCACAACTAACAATATATTGAATTAGAAGCTAGGTACTGGAAGTTGAACCATAGCTTTTAAACTATCTGAAGGTTATGATCTATTAATGGGTGTATAGACTCTTGACTTCTATTAGTAGTGGTGTTCTTGAGGAAGTAACGTTTGTATTCTTGATTTTAAAACCTGGCCACATAGAACAAAAGAGAATAAATACTTTATAGGCTAATTTCTTTTCAGATATCAAAAAACAGAAACAAAAGGATGTAAAGTTTAAAAACTTCACTCCTACCCCCACCATTACCCTTCACTAGCCCGGAAACAAATGCTAGAAGAGTGATGTGTACCTTTCCAAAAATTTCTTATGCATGTACAGTATATATACATGTATGTGCTTCTGCTTTTCTTTCTCCCTGTACATTATGCTCAGTAATATAATTTCTTTTAAGTAAAAAATATTTCTCGCACATCTTTCTAAATCGGTATACACATCTACTTTTTTTCTTTTTCATGATGTCTTAATGTCCCATTGTATGGCTGCACCGTAATTTATTTAACCAGTCCCCAATTAATTTATATTTTTTGTTTTTAATACAGTATTGCTATGAAAATTATAATATGTGTACTATACTTTTTGTGTAAGGTAAATCCTAGAAATGGAATTGGTGGCTCAAAGAGTATGCTTAATTGATTTTCATTTTCTTGATTTTGAGTTAAGTTGAATATTTTCTTATGTTTATTGGTCACATTTTTTTTTTTTTTTTTTTGGTGAACTACCTGTTCATATCCTTTACACATTTTTTTATTGGTCTACTCATTTTTCTTCTGTTGGATTATTCACATTGCTAGACTCCTCTATATTATGAAATTAGTTCTATATCTCTGTATGGACCAATATTTTACCAACCTGTCCTTTGATTTTTGTGTTCTTTTACTTTATATCTGTTTATTTGGTTAATGTTTTGCCATTCAGTAGTGTTTAATATCTTTGTACTTACCAATTTTTTGTTATGTTTTATGGACTTTGTTATATTTTGACCTTTCCCACTTCAAGATTGTTAAAATGTTACTTTTTGTAGTACTTTTATAGTCATTTTGTATACTTAAATCATTGATCCATGTAGAATTAACTTGGGTAACAAGAGAAAGATCCAGCTTTAGCCAGTGAGTTGCCTGAAACAACATTTGTTTGATAATACATGCATTTACCCATTAATTTGAAATGCTGTCTTAATTTCATAAATTCCTCTATTTGGATATATAGGGTTTTATAAAATCCTATATGCATATTGGTCACTTTCTATAATCTGTATTCTTTCCATTGATATGTCTGTATATACTTTCACTGGAACCAAACTATTTCACTACTGCAACTTTATAAATTATATTAATGTCTGCTAGGATACTTCCTCTCATTCTCATTTCATAATTTATTGGATATCATTACATTTTTTCTAGTAAACTTAGTATAATTTTGTCAAATCACTTTACCCTCCTCCCTGCCACACACATCCTCAAAAAACCACCATCTTGGGGTCACATTGAGTGTGTGTGTGTATAAAAATGGGTGGGAATGAATAACATCTTTACTGTAATGAATTTTTATATCCAAGAACAAATCATGGATTTTTGTTTTCAAAATTTCTTGTATTCCCCTCAGTGGAATGTTATAGCATTTACCACATAAGTTCTGCACATTTTTGTTAGATTTATTTGTAAAATATTTTTTTTTATTACAGGATTTTTTTTCTTCCCTTTCCAAAGTGATTACTGGGTTTTGTGTACCTGGGTTTTCCAGATATAATGTCATCTGCAAATAATTTCTATTCTTTCTCTTCAATATTTGATGGTTTTTTCCTCTTAATAATTTATATTTTCTTAAAACATGATCCATTTCGCCTAAGTTTTTTGGTTTATTTGCATAATTTATACATTATCTAATACAGTAGTCCCCCTTATCATGGTTTTGCTTTCTGTGGTTTCAGTTACCTGAGGTCAACTGGGGTCTGAAAATATTAAATAGAAAATTCTAGAAATAATCATTCAAGTAGCTGTTATTACAGTATGTTATAATTATTCTGTTTTATTATTCAGTAATAAATCTGTTAACCTCTTACTGTGCTTAACTTATAAATTAAACTTTATCATAGGTATCTTGTATGTAAAGGAAAAAACTTAGTGTGTATAGGTTTGGGTACCATCCACAGTTTCAGGCATCCACTGAAGTTTTAGAATATATCTCCCATGGATAAGAGGGTACTACGGTAATTCTTACTAATTTCTTCTGAATCTGTGGTTATGTCCCTTTTTCATATATATAAAATATAAGGTATTTGTGTTTATTTGCCCTACCTATTACAGTAAATAGTAAAGATACTCTTTTCTCAGTATTTTATAATCATTATATTTTATGCATTTAATCTGTATTTCTCATCCTGATGTTTTCGTTCGTTTGTTTTTTACTTCTGTCTGCAATGAAAAGACATTTTGACTAAATTCTTAACATGCCTCTTCTTGAGGGATTTTAGTTACAGCTATTTTGCTTGCCTTTAAAAACAGTAGTCAAGCTTGCTATATATTTCAAATAGCCAAAGTACATACTCAGAGCAAATATTATTGAAAATGGAATTTAAAATAACTATTTATATGGTTATATTTACATGTTCTGGAGCAATGAATTGTTAACAGACAATTTCATAGTGTTTCAGTGCTCTCGAAAATAAAGATTGTTGTACAGGCTACGTAGGCCATGAGGGTCCCTTTTTTGTCCAGAAACTATGTTTCTTTTTATTTTGCTGCTTGCTTTAAATGAGTTGTAAGATTGGCAAAGAAAAGTATGTTTGTAAGGCAGTTAGGGAATTTTCAGGGAAGAGTCAAGACATGGGCTGATAGTAATTTATATGATGCTTACATTTAAATATGTTAGTGTTCACATGTGTTTTTGTACAGATGTGATCAAATACTAATATATTTTACAGCGTAAAATGACGAATAGTTCAGGGGCCTAGCCCATTAGCTCAGTTGGTTAGAGCACAGTGTTGTAATACCAAGGTTAAGGGTTCGGTTCCCCAGACCATCCAGCTGCCAACAAAACAAAACAAAATAACCAACAACAACAAAAAAATGACTAATAGTTCAATACCTCATTAGATTGATTTTTTTTTTTTTTTTTTTTTTTTTTTTTTTGGCTGCTGGCCAGTACAGGAATCCAAACCCTTTCTTTACCTTGGTGTTATAACCCCACACTCTAACAAGCTGACTGAGCTAACCAGCTAGCCCTTAAACTGAATTTAAACTTTGTAAAATAACAATATCTTCTAAAAATCTAGCATTACAGATTGACATTGCTGCAGTTATGTAATCTTGAATAAAGCAGTGCAAATGATGCTTTTAAAAAGGAAGTAGCCGTGATTTTGTGAATATTTAATTGTTTTCTGATATGTATATTTACTGTTGCCCCCATTGAGAAATGGTTTTTAGAGGATCATAAGGCATGATTTGCACAGAATAGGAATGTTACCAGTTTTCTCATTCTCTCTTGCCTTTTTATTTTTTTAGATCATGGAAGATGGAAGATTTGCAAAATACAAATATTTTACCCATGTCATGATCAATAAAACAGATATGTTAATGATAACTAGAAGGTAACTTGCTTTCTTTCTCAAATGTAACTAGATAAGCCACTCATGAGGTGAAATTGTTACTCACTTTTTGTTCCATATAGTCACACTGATTCCTGCTAACTGTTCTCTTGCTCTGCAAGCCTGGTTCCTAAAATGTTACATAAATTTATGTTTCGGTTTTGTCCATTCATACAGATAAACATATAGCCATGCACAAACATAATTATAAATTAAATATTTTAGTATTTGTTTATCAGTATCAGTCAATTCAAAGGGGTACAGAAATTCCATAAAGCTATCTTCTCAAAAGTAAGCTTCCCGCTCTCTGAAAAACTACACAATTTTACATTACCCCAGAAGTCAACAGCCCTCTGGTAGTATTTATTCATTAGCATAAATATAAATTCACTCACCTAAGTGGATATACCAGTGGAAACATAAAATTTTATGTGGATAATCCCAGCTGAAACAACATCTCCAGATAGACTTGTAGACAGTAGAGGGGTTCATGCAAAAATACGCAGTGGTATAACCTCAGAGGGGCAAGTGTGCAGGAATCCTAATTGTTAAACTGGGGGAAGCCCTGAGCAAGTACAGTATTAAGATGGGGGTTTCCAGGTGCCACAGAGTGAAAATGGGGTTGAGCAGGTGAAGCTATGGCTAAAGAGAAAGGAACGGTCAATCTATGTGGTTTTGGTCAGTATTGAAAATGTGAAGTTATGTAAGCATCTTGTTGGCTCAAGTTGACTACTAAGCAATGCAATTTTAATGTTTTTAATCATAATAATTTCTGAGTCTGGAATTTACAGCAGTATCTTAATTTTCTTATTTAAAAGCTAACACCAAGTAGAAACCTTATTATTAGAAACCCTGTATTAGGGCCGGCCCGGTGGCGCACTGGAGAGTGCGCCGCTTGGGAGCGCGGCGGCTCCCGCTGAGGGTTCGGATCCCATGTGGAGACCGGTTCCCGCTCACTGGCTGAGCGCGGTGCGGGCGCAACACCAAGGGTTGCGATCCCGTTACCTGTCAGTAAAAAAGATAAAAAGGAAAAAAAAAAAAGAAAGAAAGAAACCCTGTATTAGAAATTATACATGTAAAGAAAGTAAGTTTTCATTTTGCCCAGATACTAATCCCTCTATTCTTCCCAGAGGCAGCCTGTTTTGTTTCTTTTATATCCTGCTGGAAATATTCTATGCCTATACAGGTGTACACACATATGTACAACAACTCATATGCAAATGAGTTGTTGTACATACTATTATGTACTTTTCTACTTGAGATCTGTATCTTGAAGATTATTGGCTATCAGTATACAGAGATCATTCTTCGTTTGTAAATGGCTGTGTAATATTAATTTAGAAGTATACACCATAATTTACATGTAATTTGTTTCTAAACTTTTACAATTACAGACAGTGCTTCAACAGTCATTTTTGTTTACAAAAATTTTCAGTCATGTTTTTACTAACTCTCTGCCATTGAGTAAAGGAAAGGTGACTCATCAGAGTTAAATGAGTCAGTTGCAAAGTTTGTTTCCAAATCCTGCAACATTTTAAAAAGTATCTTCTCAGCATAATAGACCTGTTTCAATGAGGCCACATGTACCTTGGCAGAGTAAGGGAAGTGAGTTAGTTGTAGTTGATTAAATGGTGTTCGCAGGTAGGGTTTCCTTTTCTTTCAAAGGTTCTGGTTTGAGCATAAAGGATCTTTGAATCGGGAAAAAGGATTACTAGGTACCTGCTACAACATTAGCCTGTCTTTGATTTTTCACATGGTTGGAGACGTATTTGAGCTCCACCAGGTTTCCAGGAGCCCCTATAATCCAGGATTGGTAAAAGAGGGGAACAGGGACAGAAGATTGAAGTGAGAGGTATAAATCCTGATTATCTTTCTCCTTCTCTATCCCAACGATGAGCCCTTAACTTAAAAGTGTATGTTACTTAAAAGAAACCTTTGGTTGCACCTATAATTTATGTTTCAACCAGAAAGAAAAATTTGGGAAAAAAGTCTTTTGAAGGAAGAATTAAATAGAATTATTATAGACAGAATGTTTTTTTCATTTCTTGATTTCTTCCCTCAAAATGGGAAAATAAGAATTGATCAAAATCAGAAGTCCAAGATGATAATTTTTGAAATTTCCCTCTTAAATTGACAATAAGACTGTGCCTGTAAAAAACCCAAGGTTCTCAGCATGTTGATTCTGTTCAACGTGGGTCGATTAGCTTCTTTCTGATGTATGTCAGGAAATATATTATATGGAGCCTCAGTAATAAAAGCATTTATTCTAAAGTGTTAATTACATGAAAGTTCCCCAAAATATTGGCTGATGATTGGTTTTGTAAATGTTTCCTATTTCTTATCAAGTGCCCTATATGGGAGAACTTCAGAAAGTTCATGGACAGATTCATATTATCTTTTGATTCTATTTTTCCATGAACTTTTTGAAGTACTCATATATTTGACTTTATTAGTGCTTCAGTTTTTCTAATGTAAGTATGTTATGCTATAAATTTCCTGGCAAGCATTACTTTAGCTGCATCCCACAAATTTTGTGCTGTATTTTCTGTCTCATTGTGTTCAAAATATTTTCTAATTTCTCTTGAGTGTCTTTGACCCGTGGATTATTTAAAAGTTAATTTCCAAGCAATGGGAAATATTCTTATCTTTCTGTTATTGGTTCCTTTTTTAGTTCCACTGTAATCTGAGAACATACTGTATATAGCTGTAGAGGTTTTTTTTGACTCATTTAGGTATTTTATGACCCAGAATATAGTCTGTATTAGTGAATATTCCATGTGCACTTATAAAGACTGTGTATACTTCTGTTACTGAATAGAAGTGCTTCATCTTTTAAGGTGGATCCTTTTCTTTCCTTTTTTTTTTTTTTTTTCTTTTGCAGTGGTATATTATTTGTAACAAAGGGAACATTTGGACAACTTACATGTGAGTGGCAGTATAGCTTTGATGAATTTACCAAAGAGCCATTCATTGTTCATGGAAGAAGACTGCGCATTGAAGCAAAGGTATGTTGAATAGATTTCTTTGAGAACTTAGAAATGAAAATAATGCATTGAAATAGTCCTTTTTAATTTTGAAGTGTTTCCACCTCTTTTATAGACATTGCTTTGTCTTGGTATGGTTTTCCTTTGCATCTGCTATCTTGCTCAAGTTTAAAGAAAAGAAAATTAGGACAGGAAAAATTGTGCTACTTTTTGTGCTATTTCATTGATAACATTCCTGGGCATTTTATAGACATTGCTTTGTCTTGGTATGGTTTTCCTTTGCATCTGCTATCTTGCTCAAGTTAAAAGAAAAGAAAATTAGGCCAAGAAAAATTGTGCTACTTTTTGTGCTATTTCATTGATAACAACATTCCTGGGCGCTCATTTTATATTCAGTAACAGAACTCCACCTTCCCCATGTATGAAGTGATGGGTAGTGGCTATTAGCCTCTGCACTAGCCTATACTGCTTTCCTGGCTTTTTTCATATCTTTTTCTCTTTCTAAAGATAACACTTCCTCTTACATCCTTGATTTCTTCCCCTTCCACCTTTTATTGAGACCTTGTATCAGCAGTGGTCCTTTTTTGAAATAGAAGAATCTGATTTTTTTCTGGAGTCTGTATTTGCATGGATATTTGAATTACTTGTAGGAATTTTGTGACTACCAAAACCTCCACCTTGCTTCTTCAATGACCTTACTCATAGTTACAGAGGTCAACACCATCCTTGACCTCAGTCGTCCCACTTCTTTCTATTTGTCCCTCAAATGCTTAATATCTGCTTTGAGACAGTTCTGCCCGACAAATACCAAACAGAATACCAAAGAAGTGTAAACAGTCGAGTGGTTTAAAATGTCAGAAATACAAATATGCACACACACACACGTATGCATCATGCATGTATGATGTATGCATCATACATACACAACATCAAGAACTGTCTGAGAAATTATCTGGAGAGGAAAAAAGTGGCTCTACTCCCAGACTTATCTTCTTCAGTCCTCTATATCAACCCCTTATGGCTTTTGCAAGTGAAATCTTCGACTTAATGTTTTTAACTTAGGTTTAGTAATAGTGGATGTGTTAGAATGTAGTCTTTTTTTCCATTGGTTTTGATTCTTATCGGTTCCCAATTTGTGGCTTTTTTAAGGTGCCTGATTTGTGTAAGATGGATGCTTTAGGCATAGACTAATAAAGCTGCATGGCATTTCTTTATTGTATTTCTACAACTGGATTTTCTTTTTAATGAAGTTACTTATTCTGTTTATAGGAACGGGTGAAGTCTGTATTCCATGCCAAAGAGTTTGGAAAAATAATTAACTTCAAGACTCCAGAAGATGCTAGGGTAAATATAATGAATCTTTTACTAAATAGGAGCTACTAATTTCAAAGCCATATTTGTGGAAAAATAGAATTAAAAGATAATGCAAATCTTTCCATGAACTTTTTAAAGTACCTTCATATGTAAGTAGATAACATTTCCCTCAGACTTTTTCATCAAATTCTATTTAGTGCAACTACTTGCTTTTCAACTCAAATTGCTCCATCTTACTTTAAATCTTAACTATAATACCTTGCTTTAAAAAAAAAAAGTCAACAAACAAGAGATTATTTCAGTTTAGTGTTAACTTATCAGCTCCAGCAGGTAAAGGATAGCCCCACATTGTTGATTTCTGTACTGTATAGCTACAGCAACTAAAATATTTTTTTTAAAGTTACCATAGCATGACACACAGGCTAAGCCTGTAGTCTGAAAATCTGGGTTTGAATACTACTGGTTCTCTTCCTTCTTGACAATAGGACCTTAGGAAAAGTCAGTAACCATAGTTTCCTCAGAATGGGAATGGCATGATCTAAAAGGCACTATGCATACTTTAGGGACTATGGCAATCACAAGGATGTGCACTGTCAAGAGCATTAAGACTATCGACTGATTATCCGACCTCACTGATCACTGCTAAGGTGCTATTCCTGACACTTGTACTCACCATGTCATGAAACTTACAATAAGAGCACATGGTTCCTTTACTTGATCCCTGGGCCTTCTGCCCACACTCAGAACAGATACCTGGCTTCCTTCCCTCATACTGCTCTCTATGTTGGTCCTGGTTGTATATGACTGTTAACTAGTTCATTTGTCATATCTGGACCCCAACCAGGATACCCCCCCACACACATACCTTGTACCAATTAGCATGTGCTGTGCAATTTTCTATATAGACCTTGTGATACAAGGCAATGTTGGCATACTAACAGTAGAAAACAGAAAGAGGGATGAGTTACAAAGAAAGAGGAATAAAGTGACTAGAGCCTTTATATGCATGTCACCTGGTGGAGTATGTTTGTAGCATGACTTTTAAGCCACTTTCTTTTATGTTGCTGAAGGGCATTACCACTTATTCCCTTTTCTCTATGATAAGTTTCCCATTTAATCCCTGTCACCATGTGACTTTATCCCAGAGGGTTTTTTTTTTTTTTTTTTTTTTTTTTTTTTTTTTTTTTTTTTTTT